GTTTACTTACATAAAGATTAGATCGGTGTTCCATAAAAACGGAAGGCTTTGTTTTCGGGGTGTTTATTGTTTTTTTTTTGTTTTGATTTTTTTGTTATGAATAACATTTCTTGAATTATGTTTTGAAACATACTTGTGTGGGCAGAAATTTTACATTGGTGACATTAGTGACATTTTAAAACATACACTCATGAAGATGCCAATCATGTGTATCAATCTGGGATAACACTAGTTATATGGACGGCTTGACACAAAATGTTGGAATGATTAATTTTGATTAACGAAAACGGTCCAGATGTCTGAGCCATCTTTTCTTTCTCTATTACACATCTCTTAATTGTGTGTATTGTGGGATAGTGTTTCTGTGTGTGGTCTTTTGTCACAAAATGAATTTATTGCGCTAATATTTTTCTTATAAAAACCAACCCATAAAATAAGTGAACTGCTTGACATTGTATATTGATTTTTCTTATAGTCCATTTGATAGATGTGAAGTTGTTGCATCTTGTTATTACTACGCGATTGATAGAAAAAAAACTTGAAAGTGTAATTATGAAACACATGTGCACTTCCAATGTTAGAAGCAACAAATCTATAACATTTTATTCTTGACATCAGATTGCCCTTGATTGTTTTAACATTAGTCTAGACTACATGTTTTTTTATTTTTGTTGGTTTTTTGTTGTTTGTTGTCTTTTTTTTTTTTTTTTTTTTTTTGCTGAAAACCTTGATTTTTAAAAAAATGGATTTGTTCTTCTTTTTATGCACTGAAGTTTGAGTCAAAAAGAAAAACATTTTGAGTAAGGAAGTCATATTTTCATTAAGCTGATTTCCTTTAAAAAATTTTTTTTTTTTTTTTTTGTCTTTTTTTTTTTTTTTTTTTTTTTTTTTGGTTTTTTTTTGTTTTTTTTTTTTTTTTTTTTTTTTTTGTTGTTGCTGAAAACCTTGATATTTAAAAAAATGGATCTGTTCTTCATTTTATGCACTGAAGTTTGAGTCAAAAAGAAACACATTTTGAGTAAGGAAGTCATATTTTCATCAAGCTGATGTCCTTTAAAAATAATGGGACACAAAGTTTTTCTGAAACGGGTGGTTGATATTCGAAATTTGATTGAATGAGTCATCAACATAGTGGAGTCAAAGGGATTTTTTTATCTAGGACCAACTGAAATATGTTAATGTATCTAATCATATTTATATGAATTCAATAACAAGTGGTTTGCAAAAAATCTAATATATTTCTCAAGATGATATACAGGGCTCACAAGATAATTTCCTTAAATATCTGTGAATTCAGGTATAAATGTCTATAACTCTGTCAAGAGCCTACTTGATGCCAAGATTAGCAAGTAATGGAAGTACCTTATCTTGATAGAAATCGGTATTTCATATAATTACATCATAAATATATTGCCAGGCTTTGTAGACTTGCTACCAAGGACTTTAACAAGTTGGATCTAATGGGAAAACATTTATCAGCTGATCTGATGAACAGGCCGTTAATATTCTCAGACGAGCTTACTGAACTGAACCTAAGCTATATCATTTTTTCTACAATTTATTTAAATGCCACGGTTTGAATGCAGCCCCCCTCCCCTTTCCCCCTTGTATGCTAAGCTGCCAATCGCATCAGTTTATCAGCCGTTGTCCGGACAATAAAAAATCTGAAATAAAACAATGTTTATATGAAGAAATCAATGCAGCACATAATGAGCTACCAAGACCATCATAAAATTCTAACGAGTAGTAATTCATTGATAATGAAGATAACAGAAAACCAGTAGAAATGGTGGTGAGTTTTTTTCTGTTTCGTTTTTTTTAAAGACTTGAAACAAAATCAAGTACGTTTATTTTTCTAATCATTCAAAAAATATGAAATAGAATTCAATTCCCTGAATTTCGGTATACAAATCTTTAAGCCAGTTTTGCTGATAACTCCTCGCTTCTAAAAAGTATTTTTTACAGGAAGTTTTCTAAATTTCTGGGGAAGTTCACATCTATTCACAAGCATAAAAAATGCAGACTTGAGCAACGATGTCCGGGAAGATATAAGCATGAACTTTTTACCCGATAAAAGCTCCCTGAAACTTTTGACTATATCAAATAATTTGTTGGGGCCTTTTTCCAATAGAACGGATCCAGAAGGTTTTAACATTAGCAAACGTCAAGCAAACCAAACACCTGGAAACGCCATCAACGGTCTAAGTTTAATTAGTCAGTGGGACCAGCTGCAAACTTTGAAGTCCGTGCAGAAAATATATTTTGAAAAAAATAGAACGAAAAAAAACTTGTAAGTTTCGTCTACATTTAATTGGGATTGTTTGGCTTCATACGGTGCCTAACTACACTTCTGCACAGACTTTCTTTGCGTAATGAATAACAATGTATGAATGTACTTTTTAGTGTGTTCAGACTTGTATTGGAAGAAAGTTTTTTTTATTTTTTATTATTAATTGTACAAAACAACTTCGGTAAGTTGCTATGAACATTAGATTTTATTTTATTATTTTTTTTAATGGAATACTTTTTTTGAAACCTTAATAATTAATTTGTTTTGAACAAAGCTTAGCAAGTTGTTGTTTTTATAAACTAGCAGGGACCTTAAACACAGTAAGCTCAAGACCCTTCTACCTATGGACATACCTGTGCATATTACCTATGGAGTATAATACACGCAAACGAACAGATAATCGATTTGACATTAGACGAATAAAACCAACGGGTCGACAATATTCACGCATATTGTGAAGCGCCGTGTATTTAAGTATGTGCCCTGTGTCAAAGACAGTGGTTCTCAAAAGTGTCTCACGCTCACTTCAGCCTTGGGGCCATAACCTCGGTCTTAACGCCTTCTAGGCTGAAACGCTTATAAATATTAATCAGGATACTACTTTTTCACGTATATGTTTTAAAATGGAACGTAAATGCAACGTAGGAATCATTGGAATTATTTGAAATAATGATGCTGGGTGGCCGAGTGGTCTAAACTGAATCAATCTCAAGCTCGTGGAGTTCAATCCCCACCAGAGCCCAGTCAAGCAAACACATCACCAGCAGCCCAGGTGGATGGGACTTGCTAACCCTGGATGCCAACACATATAAGAGAAATCTTTGAATAACTCTGATGGAGTCCCGTAGGCGGATAACATAGACACTATTAAACATTCCGACAACTCCTGCTACGTCATTTGGTGCCAACCTCTATCATCCACATAATGTCTTCCTAGGGTTATCCAGCGACGTGGAGTGAGGCAATTTCCTATGTAGGGAAACCAGCTTGTAATCCTAAAAAGAATAATCCCAGGCCTTGTGGATTTCGTCCTGCGAACACCATCGTCACATTATGACGAAAAAAATTAATCAATTACAAATGTGGATTTTTTAAATTAACTAATTCTTTATATAAGTGAGACTGGTTAGGCTATATGTCTACATGGTTATGTTAACTTTGTTTTCAAATTAAACAATAAATTAACGGCGACAACATTTCGTTGATGGGGAACTTTTTTTTTTAAACTCATCCAGTTGTTACTAAAATTCAAACTAAAACTCAAACATTCTGTGTGGTCATCACTTCTTAAAATAAAATAAATTTAAACTGAATTCTGTATCAAGAGACTTGAATGACAATAAACACCCAAAAAAGACAAATTATCAAACCTTTATGTGCATTGTTTATTATTTTATTTGATACTAATTCCCACCGCAGACTTTGTGCTAAGTTTCAGGGTAATAAGGGGAGAGACTGCAATCAGGTTAGCACAATATAAAATGAATAAAACAAAGTAGGGTTAAACCTGAAAAAAAAGACCTGAAAAAAAAGTAACGCAACAAAAGAACGAACGTTTCGGCAGAAAGCCTTCGTCAGCGACAAAATGTTATACGAAATAGAACATTGTGCAAAGGGTCTTCCGGATCTGAAATATTTTGTGTCTGCAATAAATGAATATGTTTCAAATATGGAAGTTTCTTTTACATAGCTTTATATCTTGATTTGTTTTATTCAAAATCTTATTTACCCTAACTGAATCTATTCAAATATTATGTTGGGTATTTAAGACGAGTCTTTGCACTACTTCGCACCGTAAACCATCAGTGAACATATCTGAGCTTCCGCTGTAAATTAAAGTCCTAGACACTGTGATTAATAGCAAATATAATTTAATTATTTCAATGAAAACAATCAAGACTTCTCCAATAAAAATTATTGTCTCTGCTATATAAGCAGTTGTCAAGTTGTATATACGTCATGCTAGTTCATATGTTTGATATGTGCTCGGACGATCAGTAATCATTCATAGTACGTAAGCCACTTGCGGGTAAAGTTACGATATGTATGTTACAGGTTTCTTTCTTATTTGAGGGCCATTCTATTGTTTGCTTTCACTTTTTTCGGGAATCATTCATTAAATAGGAGTCCTTTCCCTGCTAAACAAACCAATAACAAAAAATGTGCTCAAGACCTAGTGCATCATTCAGAACCTTTGCTGTTTTCCTTTTTGATTTTAAAAAAAAAAAACTCTCTTTATGTCTATAGGAAGTTGTGTGAAGTGCAATCATGGGACCAAGACGTGTTACATTTGTTAAGACTGGACGCTTCGATCAAGCTGCACATACACGAGACCAGAGATTTCCTTGCGTAAAATAAACCTACTGGTCACGTGTTAGCGTCAGCCTGGGCTGGTCTCGATGTAACCGGTCAACAGCATGGTAACTGAATGTGGTTTTGGGGTGGGACAAAGATCTTTGCTTCTCATTAAAACAATAGTAGGAATGGTCCATAAGAAAGTGAATGTATGAAGTATTTAAAAAATGCATTCCTTGAGTCTAAAATAAACGGTGTTATCATGTTGTGAAATTGATCTATTTTAATGTATAGTTAGAGAGTTGCTTACAGGTCACTTCTTTTACGCTCCTTTCAACTATTTCATTTATTTGCTAGAAATAATTCCAATCAAATGCCATTTCATACTTTCAGAGTGGATGATCCATTCATGAAGCCAATGTTTCTACTCTTGTTTAACCTTGGACTCCGTGTTTCGCTAGTGATAACCGAGGATAGAACTTCTCGTAAGTCATCTGAAATTAGAAGAATAGTTCTCATTTAAAGCCTGGCTATTGCATAGAGTTCGTGTCAGGTTTTCAAGCCTATGTTACAACTTTAAAGTTTCGCAGTAAAGCCTGAGCATAGCGAAACATGAAATAGCGCTAAATAAAAAATGCATAAACTATAATATACCCAGGCGTAGTTCGATCCTTACCCCCAAAAAACTTCAAATAGCGTACATGCTGGCATCCGTCCGTCACAGTGCGTACATCATGCACCTAACGCTAAATGTGCAATGGGATTTTTTTTTTTTATTGTTTCTCATGAGAACTACTTAAGTAGATTTCTCACAACATTTAATATATTTCCTTCCAGCTTGTAGCTTTCACTGTGCGGGAAATGAGACTTGTGATAACAAAATTGGAGAATGCACCCATGGTTGCCAGGATGGCTGGACAGGACTAACCTGCACAAAGCGTGAGTAAATACAATGGATACATGGATAGCTGATGTGAAACATTGTCAACATTTAAAGGCAAGGAATCAGATTTTTGTGAAAGCCGTCACTTCTGCTTGTTGCAAACTCTGCGGGCTAAACTAGCGTGTTGTCATTGGGCATCACTATTGGGACGTTAGTGCTTCCCCACCATTGGGATGTTAGTGCTTCCCCACCATTGGGATGTTAGTGCTTCCCCACCATTGGGATGTTAGTGCTTCCCCACCATTGGGACGTTAGTGCTTCCCCACCATTGGGACGTTAGTGCTTCCCCACCATTGGGACGTTAGTGCTTCCCCACCATTGGGACGTTAGTGCTTCCCCACCATTGGGACGTTAGTGCTTCCCCACCATTGGGACGTTAGTGCACCCCACCATTGGGACGTTAGTGCTTCCCCACCATTGGGACGTTAGTGCTTCCCCACCATTGGGACGTTAGTGCTTCCCCACCATTGGGATGTTAGTGCACCCCACCATTGCAATGCTAGTGCATCCTCACCTTTCTGGTGTCAGTGCACCCCACCATCGTGATATTAGTTCGCCCAAACACTATCTCTTTTTTTTTTCTTTTAAAATGAGTTTCAACAGTCAACACATTTCTTTGAGGAGTGATTTCTGATTAATTGTTGTTTTATTCCCCAGTTTGCCCGATCAACTGCTACAAAGATGCGTGCGACTGGAAGACCCAACAATGTGTTCGAGGTTGCAATCCAGGATTTACTGGAACTTTCTGCGATAAAAGTGAATACCGATCATATTTTGTTGTGCATTGTTAGCGTGTGTCGCGCTCATGAAACCAAATCAATATCCATATTTTTTTAAACACTATTTTGAGTCGATTGGTAGACAGGTGCGTCAATAACATAACACAGACAATAAAATAACAGAGACAATAAAATAACACAGACAATAAAATAACACAGACAATAAAATAACACAGACAATAAAATAACACAGACAATAAAATAACAGAGACAATAAAATAACAGAGAAAATAAAATAACACAGACAATAAAATAACACAGACAATAAAATAACACAGACAATAAAATAACAGAGACAATAAAATAACACAGACAATAAAATAACAGAGACAATAAAATAACACAGACAATAAAATAACAGAGACAATAAAATAACACAGACAATAAAATAACAGAGACAATAAAATAACACAGACAATAAAATAACAGAGACAATAAAATAACACAGACAATAAAATAACAGAGACAATAAAATAACACAGACAATAAAATAACAGAGACAATAAAATAACAGAGACAATAAAATAACAGAGACAATAAAATAACACAGACAATAAAATAACACAGACAATAAAATAACACAGACAATAAAATAACACAGACAATAAAATAATACAGACAATAAAATAACAAATTTAAAAATTCCTTGTCTAATTTGAATTTTTTCTAAATGGTGGTCGTGTGTGTGTGGAGAATAAAATTGTATCGAGTTTTTTCTATCGATTTTTAGTAATCGTTTGTAACTGTCTCACAATGTTAGTAATCGTTTGTAACTGTCTCACTATGTTAGTAATCGTTTGTAACTGTCTCACTATGTTAGTAATCGTTTGTAACTGTCTCACTATGTTAGTAATCGTTTGTAACTGTCTCACTATGTTAGTAATCGTTTGTAACTGTCTCACTATGTTAGTATTTATATGTGACAGTCTCACTATGTTAGTATTGGTATGTAGCTTTTTTCACTATGTTAGCATAGGTATGTAACTATCTCACTATGTTAGTAATAAAATAAAATGAGTAAAACAGAGTAGGGTTAAACCTGAAAAAATAAACGCAACAAAACAGCGAACGTGTCGGCAGAAAGCCTTCGTCAGAAAACAAAACTACAGAAAAAAACGGTATAAAAATAAAAATAAGAAATTGCACTTAGCTGGTATGTAGTATCTGTGGGCAGCAATAGAATCATAAACAAACACATTGTGGACCGGACCGAGGTAAATTCTACTTGTGAACCCAATTGTATCATATTTTTTTGTATTCTATTTATTTTATTTATTCATCTTTTTCAAAGTTAATATTTGCTGTCGGTTTACATTTCCATATAGTACTTGATCTTGATCTAGTCATTCTGACAACATAATCTTGTTCTATTCATTCTGACAACTTGATCTTGTTCTCGTCATTCTGACAACATAATCTTGTTCTATTCATTCTGACAACTTGATCTTGTTCTCGTCATTCTGACAACATAATCTTGTTCTATTCATTCTGACAACTTGATCTTGTTCTCGTCATTCTGACAACATAATCTTGTTCTATTCATTCTGACAACTTGATCTTGTTCTCGTCATTCTGACAACATGATCTTGTTCTATTCATTCTGACAACATGATCTTGTTCTAGCCATTCTGTTCAATTTAGATATTTAACAACACTTGATCGGGATCTACCGATTGCACCAAGTTAACTATGCGAATAATCAACCACAACAGATTGTTCTGCCAACTGCCTTGGTGGCAAGTGTGACAATGTCACAGGCGCGTGCTTCAAGGGATGTAAACCGACATTCGCAGGACCGATGTGTGACATTAGTGAGTGATCCCTTTCTGTGCTGTGGTCGATTATCTCTTAAAGTGCTAGATGTGTGTGACATTAGTGAGTGATCTCTTTCTGTGCTGTGGTCGATTATCTCTTAAAGTGCTAGATGTGTGTGACATTAGTGAGTGATCCCTTTCTGTGCTGTGGTCGATTATCTCTTAAAGTGCTAGATGTGTGTGACATTAGTGAGTGATCTCTTTCTGTGCTGTGGTCGATTATCTCTTAAAGTGCTAGATGTGTGTGACATTAGTGAGTGGTCCCTTTCCGTGCTGTGGTCGATTATCTCTTAAAGTGCTAGATGTGTGTGACATTAGTGAGTGGTCCCTGTCGAGTATGAGCGTTCATTAGGAATTGTTGCGACTCAATATTATGTTCATTAGTTGTTGAACGCTTTTCCCGCGCTTGACTATTATAGTTAGTGAACGCTCTTCCCGCCATTGTAATTATGACGTATTTTTATGCTGTGTCGTGACGTATTGTCTATGCCGTGTTGTGACGTATGTTTTAGTCGTGCTGGCAGTCTTGAGTGGAACCTTGGAGTGATAGGATGTTTATTATATTTACTTAGATATTAAAGTTATAGTTATTATGAAAAGGAGTTGAGTTTGTTAATTGATAGTTAGAATAGTACGACGCTTCAACGTATGAAAGAACTGACGAATGTAATCAATCCAGAAGACGTTAGGAGTTGACATGGGGGCTTCTCATCCGGGATTGGTGAACCTCGTTATTTTCTTACTTGAGGTAGAGTACAAGAACATTCTTATTATTCAACTTTAGTGAAGTTGCAACCATCGTCGCATGTTCCCGTATTTCAATGTCAGAGCCCCGCTGCCACCGTGCGTCAAGTATATATGAGTTGTATACGCCAGTGTAATAACTACGTCCTGCCCGTTATCAAGTTACTAACCTCCTGTCCAGTTCCAGTTAAATAACTACGCCCATCGCTGCATCGAGTTATCTAAGTCCTGTCGGTAGTGAGCTACCCACTCCGTGTTCAGCTGGAGTGAATTAACTACGACCATCGCAATTAACTACGACCATCGCTGCATCGAGTTATCTACGTTCCTTCGGTAGTGAACTACCAACTTCGTGTCCAGGTCCAGTGAACAGCCCTGACCCTCATCAAGCTGCCAACGTCCAGTTGAGTTCCAGTGAATTAACTACGCAATTCCCTGTATCGAGTTATCTACGTCCTGTCGGTGATGAGCTACCAACTTCGTGTCCAGTGAGCTGTGATGTCCTGTGGCCCTGTCCGGTCACCCAGTTGAACAACGCCCTGTCCTGCTTCAACGAGCCACCAACGTCCGTCCTGCATCAAGCTGCACATGCCGATCCTGCATTGGCGAGTTACACACAAACTGTCCAGTGTCGACGATTCGCCTACGCCCTGTCCAGTAAACTCGACATCCTGCGATCTTTCCGGCCATCTAAAACCCAATGACTGTATCCCGTGATTTACCAGGGTCTATTAACAATTATTGTTCATGTGTGACCATTGACAATTGATGCAAGAACCTCTTGTGTGGAACCTATTGACATTTCATTAGCCCACAGGACCTGTGTGTGCTCTGTGTTGGTTATTAATATTTATTTTACTTCAAGTAGGACATTTCACAATCCAGGCAAGTTATTA